TTCTGATGCCCAGAGGTGGGGTTCAGGCCGAGCCCCTTCTGATGCCCTGAGGTGGGGTTCAGGTAGAGTCCATCCTGATGCTGAGAGTTGGAGTTCAGGTAGAGCCTTTCCTGATGCTGAGAGTGGGGGTTCAAGTAGAGTCCTTCCTGATGCTGAGAGTTGGGGTTCAGGCAGAGCCTCTCCTGAGGATGAGAGTGAGGGTTCAGGCAGAGCCCCTCCTGAGGATGAGAGTGGGGGTTCAGGTAGAATCCCTCCTGATGCTGAGAATGGGGGTTCAAGTAGAGTCCATCCTGATGCTGAGAGTGGGGGTTCAGGCAGAGCCCCTCCTGAGGCTGAGAGTGGGGGTTCAGACAGAGCCCCTCCTGATACTGAGAGTTGGGGCTCAGGCAGAGCCCCTCCTGAGGCTCAGAGTTGGGGCTCAGGCAGAGCCCCTCCTGAGGCTCAGAGTGGGGGTTCAGACAGAGCACCTCCTAAGGTTGAGAGTTGGGGTTCAGGCAGAACCCCTCCTGAACAGAACACTGAGATGGAAAGTGAGATAGAAAACATGGCAATGAGTAACCTGGGAGATTCAGATGGTGATATATAAATATGTCTTCTGTGGTGTCCAGCACCTGGGATGTTGACATAGTTACTTTGCGTTAGAGAGGTGTTATTCTTACTTTCCACATGTTACTTATGTTTCTGCATAAAAAATGTTGTGAGAAAGTTTTAAACAATTGTTTTGTAAGATTAATGAAATAAAACCAGTATGTGTTGAGGGATGGTTTTGTGCACTGTGTATTAAGATGCTGATTTCTTTGCCCAGAGATTTGGTTACAGTACAGACAGTAGAATTGTCTTGGTTACTGAACCATCTCCTGCATCAATGTTGTATAAAGAATGCTCACCAGCTATCTCTGATTTGTAAATAAAGAGCTAGTCAGCTCACGACTGCACAGAGAAGGCAGGACTTCCAATCCCAGGACCAGGGACCCAGGAAGAGAGAAGTAGGAGAAGGACCATGGGGAAAGAGGTAGAGAGAGCATGTGGAGAGACAGGGATGAGGCAGAGGGCCCAGGCAGTTATGATGAGCAGGTCACCCAGGGACTCGCCATGAGGGCACACACATGGAGCAGCAGAACAAGCCAAGATGAGCCTCAGATTGAAGGTATAGGGCCATGTGGGTGGGAAACAGATGGCTGAGAGGATTAGAATAGATGAATATCTGCTAGTCATAGTGCTTAAAGCTTGTTAATAATAGGTCTTTGTGTCAATTATCTGGGAGCTAAAACAGGTTAGAACAGGAATGGACAAGCTCCTCTAGCAACACAGTCTCTGAGGCAAGCATAGCGTGCAGTAAACCCCTGCTGAGCACAAAGGTTGGTGGAATGGAGAAGCTGCTGGCCAAGGGATGAGCTCCTGTGCCTGAAGACTAGCAGTAGCAATCAGGACACATCGACTTTTAATGGTTTCCTAGCAACGGCTGTGGGACAAACCTACTCGGATCTCGGAAGCATGCGGCACAGACTAGCATCTCAGATCCATGTGCAGCTCAGAGATTAGCCACGAGCTAACACACAGCTGGTGGGTTCCAGAGCTGCACTGCATTTCTCCCAAAGCATCAGGACAAAGTGGGAAAAGCCTGCTGAGGGGGAGGGGCCAGGCATAGGGTGAGCAGTGCCCCGGAGCTAGGAGGAACTCAAGGCTGGCAAACACCAACTCAGGGCAGTGCAGCAGGGTGGCATGAAACCCAAGACAGATAGCAGAATGCACGCCAGCCTGGAGAGGTCCCCAAACCCAGAAGTTGAGGTTTCTCTGGTGCAACTGCAGATCTACCTCTCTCCCTGTGAGTGGAAAGACAGGGGCAGAACTAATCACTGCAGTGTCCTAACCTAAACAGCAGAGGGAGATGGAACACACAGAAGAAATAGGAATTATGCTTAAAGGCTAAATAAAAAAGAGACTGGGTATAAAACATCATAGACAGATAAATAGTTTGAAATTAACAAAATGAAGTCCACAAAGAGAAAATTGAATAAATTAAAAAGAATAGCCACAAAGAGATGGAAAAAGAGTTTAAGGAAACTTAAGTACAGGAAACAATATTAAACTTAAAAGCATTAGGAGAGAAATAAATAAATATACCTAGAAGATAATGTCTCCAAAACAAGGAGAGAGAAAATAAACTGAAGTCTCCAGAGGAAGGAAAAAATTAGAGAGATTAAAAAGAAAATATTTTCCATGTTAAAAAATGGAAAACACCATAGAAGAAGGCATCTGGACCCCACGTAGTTTTGTTTTGACTGTCAACATAAAAATAATTATATGTTCAGTAGTGATTACCATTTTATATATCCCTTTAAAGAAAGATCAAAATACCGCAGACTTAGGTAAGAGAGGACCGATAGGTCGCTAGGTTACAGGCCATAAAACAGAGGTTAGAGGATCCCTTAAATCAGAGTCATGAATCTTCAGAAGTTAATCTGAATCCCACAGTGACAGCAGAAAAGATGGTTCCAAATGAGAAAACCACACTCGGGTTTGAGGAATTAGATCCGCAGCCCACAGAGATACAGTGTTCTGAGTGAAGGATCCAGATCCTCCTTAACGATGCTGACTGTGTTGGGAGTTAGGACTCTGACATTATTAGGGACATAAATACTGAGACCACAGCGTCCATGTGGTACGGGTACTAGTCAACATCCAAACAAAAGAAAGCAAAACAACCTAGAAACCACTCAAGATATTTTAGTCAGAGAAGGGTTGAATGCAGGACTCAGTTCCGAAAGTGTAGAGAGGATAGGCGGATAAACAGGACTAGGAACAGGTCCCTGGAGGCCGCGAAGCTGCTCACAGCTGGGCTGCAGCTCCTCAGCACTGCTGCTGCAATGCTGGAAGGACAGCCTTGCTGCTGTCCTGAAGCCCACCCTGCTGCCAAGGGAGCTGTGGTCATGCTTTCAGCTTGAATTAAACAGAACTTTCAGATCAATTTAGGGAAAGCTGAAATTTTGTTCTGCTATTAACTCTTCTGTTTAATGGTCATCGGTGTCTTAGGGTTTCTATTGCTCTGATGAAACACATGACTAAAAGCAAGTTGAGGTGGAAAGGGCTTATCTGGCTCACACTTCCACACTGTTGCCCATCATCTGAGGAAGTCAGCTCAGGAACTCACACAGGGCAGGAAGCTGGAGGCAGGAGCTGATGCAGAGGCCGTGGAGGGGTGCTGCTGACTGGGCTTGTTCTCCATGGATAGGTCAGTCTGCTTTCTTATAGAACCCCAAACCACCTGCCCTGAGATGGTACCACACACAATGGACTGGACCCCCCTTCATCGATCACTAAGTAAGAAAATTCCCTGTAGTCTAATCTTATAAATCTTTTCTCAACTGAGGTTCACTTCTTTCAGATGATTCTAGCTTGTTTCAAGTTGACCTAAAACCAGCCAGCACACTGTTTGCTTGAGTTGTCTTTTAATGTCTCTTAAATGAAATTTAATTTCATTCAAAACAGTCTTGTGTATTTTTGGTTATGTTTTGTATGATATAAATATATATAATTTATACATTTTGGGAGAATTTTGTACACACTTAGGGTATGTTTTGATCAGATCGACCCGTATATCTTCTCCTCCAACTCTTCCCCTATAGCCTGCATCAGTTTTCCTTCTTCCCTTCACTTCTTTTATTAAATGCACCAAGTTCACATAGTGTTACTGGTATGTGCATAGGTATAGGGCCACAGCATGGGTAGCCTCTCAGCCTATATTCTGATACTTTCCTTTCTATTGCAGCAATTAATTGCCAATAGCTAGGGGTGGAACTTCAAAAGTGCTACTGTCGATGCTGTGATTTTTTTTTCCAGCTTAATCTTGTACAAATCTTGTGTATGCAGTTATAGCATTTTGAGCTCATGTGTGCAATGGTCCTGTTGCCATGTCCGGAAAACCCTGTTTCTCAGAGGCTGTCTACTTCCTCTGGCTTGTACAGTCTTTGCTTTCTTTCAAGATGATTCCTAAGCCTTGGGGCATATGTGTAATATACACGCCCCATTTAGGACCGAGCACTCTATAATCTCTTATTCTCTGCCTGTTCACTAGTTGTGAATACTTTTATTGATTGCCATCTACTGCAAAAAGAAGTGTTTCTGGTAAGGGTCGAGAGATGTGCTAGTCCATGGATATTAAGATAAGAACACAGGGGGCAGTTTAATACCATTTCCAGAATAATGGTGGAAGGTTCTCCCTAGGATCTATGTCTATATAGCCATGAGTTCTTGGTTTAGTTAACAGTACCAGGCATGAGTTCCATCCCGTGTAATGGGATGAAATCTAATCAATAAGTGCTTGGTTACACCCATAACATCTGTGCAGCTATTGTACCAATAGGCACATATTTCCAGACCAGTTGTCATTGGTAGCTTGCAGGAGTCACAGCTGGGTAAGACTGCTGACTACTTTTGTTTCCCAGTAGTAGACATAGCAACTGCATGCTATGTCATAGCAGCATGAAAGCTATCCAGCAGGGATGAAGCTCCCAGGCTGGTACCAGCTTAATTTCTCTGTTTCCTAGGACTCAATTATGCAGCGTCTTTCACAATAGAATCTTACTGCCAAGGCGTAAAGAACAACAGAAATAGCCTACGAAGTTTGAGGTGACCTATGGGACTCCCTTGATCAACAAGTCAAAAAGCGGTAACCCATACCCAGTACAGGCTTTTTGTTTAATAGCCTGTGGTGTCTGAGAGGGGCATTATCCTCCCCCCAATACAATGAAACCCAAGCTAAACTCAGTATTAATTACATTTGTGCATTTCATGAAGCTTCTGCAATAGCTGGTTTCCAAATGGCTTTTCCCAAGGTCTTTGGTGTTTGTCTTCCATCCCCCAACCCTTCTTGTTCCCTGCCTTCCCAACCTCCACCTCACGTAACCCTTACCACTCCCTTTCCTTCCTCATGTCACCTGTGTTCTGCACCCCTCCATCCCTCGGAACACCCCACGACGGATCCTTACTTTTCCAACTTCCATGGAGCTGCCATTGTAAACACGTCAAAGAGTCAAAGCTAGGACCCACTTCATGTTTTCAACCCAGGCGAGGACTTTCTGAATAGACTGCAGTAGTGCAGGAATTAATACCAACCATTGACACACGGGACATGATGAGACCAAAAAAGCTTCAGTAAAGCAAAGGGCACCGTCACTGAGTAAAGAGGATGCCTAAAGAACAGGAAAATCTTCACCAACTATACATCTGAGAGAGTGTTAGTCTCTAGACCAGGCAAAAGAACTTTAAGCACCAGGAAAACAGCTCTATTTTTAAAAATAGGGCATGTAACTAAATAGAGCTCCCAAAAGAAGTACAGTCAGCTAAAAAGTATTTTTAAAAATATTCAACATCCATAACCATAGGGAAACGAAAATTAAAACCACTTTGAGATTTCATCTTACTCCAGTAATAATGGCTAAAATTAAAAAACCGAAACAACACTAACCCCCCTCCCCGAAACAAAACAAATAAAACCAATTAACAGCAAATGCTGGCATAGCTACAGGGAAATGGAGACACTCATTCACCATTGTGAGAATGCAAACTGGTGCAGCCACTAAAAACAAAACAAAACAAAACAAAACAAAACAAAACAAAACAAAACAAAACAAAACAAAAGCTAGATTTAGATCCGCCCTATGATCCAGCTGGCTCACTCTCAGAGAACTCTTATCTTCCTGTAGAGATACCTACTCATCCATGCTCGCTGCTGCTCCAGTCACTGTAGCTGGTAACTATGGA